ATGCTTGACCCCATGTTGCGAAAATGGTCAAGACATACTTGGAAACGTTGAAATGGGAAGTCCTACTCCGCCCGCCGTATTCTCCAGACGTTGCTCCCTCTGACTATCGATTAATGGCACACGGCCTGGCTGACCAGCACTTCCGGTCTTATAAAGAAGTAAAAAATTGGATCGATTCGTGGATCGCTTCAAAAGATGACCAGTTTTTTCGACGCGAGATTCGTACGCTGCCCGAAAGATGGGAGAAAGTAGTGGCCAGCGATGGACAATACTTTGAATCATAAATGTGTAACCAGTTTTTTACAATGAAGCCTCGAATTTCGGAAAAAAAAAACGACGGAAGCAAAGTTGTACACCTAATATAATAAAAATGTGTAATATAATACAATTTTAAAAAGAATACATTGTTTTTTATTGTATATATGTGTACAATTGTTGCATAATATAATTATCTTAACTCTCCTGCAGCAGTTTTACATGGTGTATATGTGAAACTAATCTTTTTAATAATGTACATATGGCCCTTGATAGAATTAAATAGCCTATCTAGGAAACAGAATCTGTGTATAATCTGCCGTCAATCTGTCGTCAGAGTTTGTCGACAGGCTTTGCGCGCAGTCTGTCACCAATCTGTCATCAGGACAGATTCTGTGTATAATCTGTTGCCATTCTGTCTACAGACACTGTTGAGAGACTCTGCGTAAAATCTGCTCGTGTAGGTTTGGCTATTTGGGTTACTAATATTGTACGTTAAATATTTATATAATATTGGACTTACATTGGAAATGCGTTGGCCAATATTTCCCAATATAAAATTAATATTGATCTCAGAATAAATATTAATCTATTGCCATCAATATTACACATCAATAAATACGTAATATTGCATTTACATTGAAAATGCATTGGCCAATACTTCCTAATGTAATATGAAATTTACAAAAAAATCTTTACATAAAAAATTACAACAAAATCTGATTAAAAATTTAAACAACATAAGAAAACTAAAAGCAGCTAAAATATATTTTAAAAATTATTATTTAAACAATCTTTTTGTCCGATCAATTGTACATTCGAAAATACTTTACTGAAAAATATAATAAAAAAAAAACATTTTAAAATAATTATACTAAAAAGTTGTTACTCAAAAAAATTGTCATTACAAAAAATATTAAAGAAGCAACTGAACAAAAATTGTATAACAGTTGGCTATTTACAAAAAAAAATACAAAGGATAAAAATTGTTACTTAAAAAAACTGTTATGCAAAGAATCTTTACAAAAAAAATATAACAAACAAATCCTGTTAAAAGATATTTTACAAGTCTTTACAAAAATATTAATTTTGAGCTATAGCTATTTAATTTTGTACTCTCTACAAAAGTAATGATATAAAGAGGTTTACGCCAAGTGCGAATGATTAATCATTAACATTTCAGTTCTCACTTTTATAGACACAAATTCTTTTAACTATATAAATATTTAAAGTAGATAAATATTAAGAAAAACGTTATTATATAAAACTGTTTGTCGGAGAAGTTTCTATAAAAAATTTAATTTTGTATTTCTTCCAAAAATAATAATAAAAGAGATTTACATAACAACTTTCATTATTATATTTTTTGTTTTTTTAATTTCATGTTTCGTTATTTGTTATATATTACACCGATCATTAATATATAAAACATTAACATAAAATTTTAATATTGTATATGAAAAATAATTTTATATATTATTAACATAAATATTTTAATATTAAATATGAAAGAATATAAAAATATGTATATATTAAATATTAAAAAATAAATAATTATAAATAGAATAATTTTGATAAAAAAATTATAGACT